CGAGCACTCCTCATCTCCTGTGTCAGTCCAGGCTTCCTCGTCGGCTTGGTCTTTCTGTATCCTGCTTCTCTTAATACTCTCCAGACTGTAGTGCGTGATATATTGACTCCTTGAAGACTGAGAGCACCAGCAACGTCAGCGCAGCTCTTCTCTCGTCCGTATCTATCACGTCGTACTTGTTGGATTATCTGCTCCTTTACCTTATCCGTCTGCTTTGAAGGTCGGCCAGAGCGAGGGGCGTCTTGTACGTGCTCTGGGAGGATCTTAAGAGGGAGAACGTTTGGCTCGAAACCAGCCTCAATAGCTCTACTATAGATACGATTGACCGTACGAGGATGAACATCAGTAAGTTCAGAGATCTGTGATGTAGACTTGCCAACAGAAGGTGACTTTAACGCCACAATTAAGGTGCGGGTGTAAGGATCAGTATTAGGAGACATTGTAACGATAGATACAGACAAATCGTACAGCTACTCAGCTCAAAGGTGGGAGTTGCGCCAAGAAGAGTTATGCCGAAGCGCCGAGATTAGCGTGGGACAAAACTTTTGTGAGGCACCTCCGTACAGTAGCGCCACTTTTTTGGAATTCTCGCAACCTTCTCGCAACCTTCCTCTGCCGCTTTGCACCGTCGCCGCCACTGTCAGCCAACCAGCCGTCCAGCGTCCTTTTTTTTCGCCGTGATACGGCCTACACCCACTTTAACACGGCCTTTCCCCATGGCGATCTTCAGGTGATGACACACACCCCCCCTTGCATACCGTTGCATCGCCTTTCTCGCAAGGCGTTCGCATTTTGAGCATCAGCAAGAGAAGGGAGAGAAGGAGCATGCAAATGCGCAAAAAAGGGGGCCTTCCGCGGAATATGCTGTTGTTTTGGCCAACAAGGACAATCAACGGCATGGTAATACAGACACTGCTATACCGAACACCACACGTCACTCGATATTAACAGTCGGATAACTGCATGGGGGGTTTTTTGCTATGCGCAACCAAGGTCCAGTCAGGCGCGGTGCACCGGATTTGCCTCGCCAGCCCGGTTTTTGGTTGTTTTCTTGCCTCTGGCCTACCACTACATCATGGTGTTTGCTCTCGTTGGCTCGACGCTCGTATTGCACGACTCCACGGACAAGCGATGTCGCCGGCCTCAGTAAGTAATGGAAAGACGGTCGCGTCTGTTTCAAGACGCAATGGCCGCTGCTGAGAGAACAGATGCACAAGACATCCACATCGGCAGCTCCCACTCCAAACCTTTCCCAACCAACACGGGCCTGCCCCAGGCTAGTGCTCGTGTGCAGGGCTCCGACGGGTATACTCCGATGACCTCACCGTGACCGGCAACTAGAGCAGAATGGGCTTTTCGCATTGGTTGCACGGGTGAAAGCGCCCTCGTGCGGTCATGGCCCTGTCGTGTATACCCGGCACCGACGACAGGGCTTGACGGCGTGCAAACGGCGCGGGCAAAGCCCGTATGCCATTGTCGTGCAGCTATGCTTATCCCGTCTGTCTGTCTCTCTCCCTGTCTCACTCTCACTCTTTCACCTACTAGTGTTTTTGTCCGAGTGGACACCTTGATCCTCCCTTCACGACATCTGCGTGTCCTTTCCGTTTGCGCTGCTCCACATTCGACTTGGACAGACACGCATTCAGTCGGCGCATCCGCGGTAGCACTCTGCCAGTGAGCAACATCAGCAGCATGCCTTCTGCCATGATGTGGTGGCGCGCTGCTGTTGTCGCTGCTCTGGCGACACACGTGGTTGCCGACGACCAGTGCTGTAAGCTCCTTGTAAGCATCAGATACGAGTCGCAACTAACCGTTGACAGACTATGCAAATGGCAGCAAAGCCCCAGATACCGAGAAGCCCTGCTCGTCTGCAAAAGGCTCAGCCTGTTGTCCTCAAAACTGGGAATGTCTCGACAATGGCCTATGTCACTATCCGCCCAATAACCTCTATGGCCGATACAGCTGTACCGACAAGAGCTGGAAGGCGGATGGCTGTCCTTCCAACCTTTGCACTTATGGTAAGGCGGTTCGAGTCGCGCGTCCAATCCCGCTGACAGGTATCAGGTATGACAGCTTTTGGCGGCGAATCCATCACACAGTGCTCCAACCACGGCAAAAAATGGTGCTGCAACGCAGATAATGTGCATGTAAACTGCTGTAAAGAGTCGCCATCACCGCGTCCCTTCTTTGGCCTGCCAAATGGGGTCGCATATGCCACGGTTGGCTCCAACATGGCAGCGAATGCACCGAATCTGGCCAGAATCATAGGCCAAGCGACTGGTGGTAGCGGCAATAACCAACCTTCACCGGCAGCAACATCGGCGCCCCAGTCTTCAGGCGCATCGGCATCCTCTGGCTCTCCGTCGTCTCCATCGTCTCCATCGTCTCCATCGTCTCCATCGTCTCCATCGTCTCCATCGTCTCCATCGTCTCCATCGTCCCCCTCCTCAGCGACTTCGAGGGATCGAACTGCAATCGCTGAATCGGCTTCGACTGCTAAACCGGTGACGACGGTGTCGTTCAGTCTTTCGTCGGGCTCTAGGGGAATCGTCAGTGTGCCAATCACAAGCATCATTACGCCTACTCCGGGTGCCAGCCCTACGCGCAGCGACGGAAAGACGGATGACAATAAAGACTCAAACTCGGATCTTGGCTTGATTATTGGCTGCGCAGTGGGCATTCCCATTGGTCTTGCGTTGATTGGAGTGCTCTTTTGGTTGCTCCGAAAGCGTCGCCAACAAAAGGCCAACCCCTACCAGCAAACGGCTGAGATGGACGGCGACAACTCGAACTTTGCGGGCGCTGCTGCAGGCAGACTGGATAGCAAGCAGACCCACCAGAACCACAATACCGCAGCGACTGAAATAGACGGCAACCCTGTAGGCGCTGGACGGCCCATTTCGACCATCCATGGACATGCAGAGCTAGCGTCAGGAAACGGATTCGCGCCTGGACAGGCCACGCCATATGGGCCGGACGTAGTTGGCATCGGCGGTGGCAATGGGCACACGGACCGAAGCACCTGGGACAGTGTGCCACCCCAATATTCGCCGGGGCATACCCAAACGGCCTTTGCGTACCCAGACGTGAGCGAACTCGCGGATACAAGCGTGGCGCCAGTTATGGAAAAGGAAGAACAGCACATGGCAACGCCAGCAGCGACCGAGATGCCAACTGTAAAGACGCCGCCGGAGGATGTGGAAAAGCAGATACAGCATTGACGAGAGCATTGATGAGAGCTTTTTCTTTTAATGAATGGACACTACGTATGCATGACGAGGGGGGCGTTGGTGTTTTATTTTTCCTTTTTTTTGTACATAGTATGGAGAATACCCTGGGTGCGAGAAGCGTACACGTAGTGATGATGGGTATCAGCGACCCTGGATAGTAATAACGATGGCATTTGCTTACAGCCGCCAAGACTAATATGCATATTAAGTGTCTGCAGCAACGCTATGCTTACTTGTACATGCGCGTGCACGTGACAGGGCTGGGCAGGGCGGTGTGGTGTGGTTGTGTGGGGGGAGCCATGTCGTAAGCCCGCGTCTTCAAAGGGCGCTCGACAAATGTCCACCATGACCGTGTCGCATCCGCGATTCCGTGCTCCTCGCTAGCTCTACAGCCTCGTCGTGCCGTCTTGCAAGTCGTTGTCTCGTCCAGCACATTTGGGCCAAGATGCAGCACCTCCCCGACGAGCTGGTGCTCCACATCATCTCGTGTAGGTAGCCGGCGAACAAGTAGACATGCATGCACCCTGCCCGACGCCCACTCTGACCATCGTCGCAGACCTCGAGCCTTCGGAGCTGGCCAACCTCCAGCACATCAACCGCCACTGGCTGAATCTGTGTCGCGACAACAATCTGTGGAAGTCTCTCTGCTTCTCGCACTCGGCTGCTGAGCGCCGCCGCCGCCGCCTCCAACTCTCGGCCGACATTGACCCGCGCCTGGCTGAGCTGATCCGCGCTGCCGACACTCTGTCCAACACCTTCGACACTTCGGTCCACGACGAGGATGCCCCGGGCGCCGACGCGCAGCACGAACGCAGCAGGGAGAAGCGGAGGCAGGCCTTGATCGCGAACTGGGACCCGAGCTATCCTGCCGAAAAGGTCAACTGGTACCAGGACTTTATACAGCGACATGCCGAGGAGAGGATTGGCTGGTTCCAGGATGCGGGCACTGAAGTGAGAGACGACGGCGATCCGAGGAGAGAGGCTACAGGCGCAGGCATACTGTTTGACGGCGACGGGCTGGCCGACAAGCTCATTGCACCCCTCGATGACGGCAGCATCACCATATGGGATGCGTCGGCGAGCAGCGACCACCAGGGCAAGATTGTTGCCAAGAGCGACATTGGCCTGCTGCCGGCCAAGGGCTCGGACCTGGACTTGGATACCAGGCTGACCCAGAGCCAAGCCATCATGACAGAGACGGGCGCTGTCGAGTGTGTGAGCATCGATAGCAAGCTGAACAAGGCTTTCTTCGCCGTGCAGAACACGCTGAACGAAGTCGACCTCAATACCCTCAAGGTCGTCTCGCGGACCCCATATCCCTTTCCCATTACCGCTCTGTCTGAAGCCCATCACCGCACGCCGCTGACGGTCGGGACAAACTGGACGCTGCATCTTCACGACACGCGAAAGCCTCCCCAGGCCGCATCCTCGGTGCGATGCGAACTCATTGGTGGTTCAACGGACACGTCCTTTTCGCGCCTCGAAACAGGCGATTTTGGCGGCCATGTGTCACTCTCGCAGCCAGGCGCCCTCTCGATTCTACACCTACCCACAGCCCGGGAGTGGGACGGCAACGGAGATATCTGGGTCGGCGGTCGCTTTACCAGCATGCTCAACTTTGACCGCAGGTTCTTTCCCCGACTCCGCGGTACCGTGCACTCTGGCGCACGACTGTCAAGTCTAACCGCAATACCGTATCCCTTTGTGCCACAAGACTTCCGCCTTGGCCGACCACACTCGTCGCCTGCTTTGCTACGCGAAGTCAAGTCGATTCCTGGTCACACTCTCATTACGGCGGGTGAATACAAAGGCAAAGGTTCACTCGAGCTATACGGCCTCTCGGGCGAGCCAACGCTGTCCATCAATTCCAGCGATAGCCGCACGACAATCAACCACAAAGCCTACTATCAGAACAGACAGACAGCCAGTAGCTCCAAGCTGCTTTCTGTCGCGCCCCACGGCACGCGCCTCGTCTTTTCCGATGGCGACGGCAACGTCAAGTGGGTAGAGCGCGACGGCTCCACCCCCGTGCGTCAATTCAACATCAACGACTTTCAACGCTCGCCGTGCCAACCAGCCCTGCAATCTCAACTCGTCAGTGCACACGCCGACACGGAAGCCAGCTGGGGCGACATCGTGCAGAAGATCTTACCCACCGTAAACCCCTCTCTACTTTCCGCTTCATCGTCCACCACCACCACCGAAGCCCTGGGCGCCAACAACTTGATTCTCTGGACTGGCGACGGGAAACTCGGTATGTTGGGATTCGGCCGCGAACCACCTTTTGAAAGAGATGTCTTTGAGGATGCGCTGGAGCAGCAGGGCAATGATGCGGGCGAAAAGGTTAGGGAGAGAGAGTATAGTGCTGAGATGAGGAGGGCGCTGGAGCACCAGGCGAGGGAGCTGAGATGGTTGAGGGGCTATGGCCTCTAGATTTAGACTCTCCTTTTTTTGGTTGGTTCTTGTCACCCTTGTGTTTTTTGTTGTTTATCTTTAGTTAGAGTGTTGATAGATTTTGCTTTTTTGCAATTGAGCGTTTTATTTACATAGATGATGATACCACGGGCTCTTACATGCATACATGAGATTATAGAATTTATCTTCGGGGGCCAGGCACGGTGTGTGAGGGCGAGTGTAATGGGGATGAAATGCATTTTTATTAGAGTATAGGAAACTTGTTTTGAGAAAAGAGAGTGGACATGGAAGAGATATCTACGAGTGTCGTGGTGCTGTGACGTTGAGATATCGGTGCTCCGTAAGCGCACGTGTTTAGCCTTGAATCGAGCTAGGACGAGATATTGTCGTACTTTGGGCACAGAACGCCATTATTAGTGGCTGGCTACATGACTCTGGTACCGGTCCTTTTGTAGTGTTTTGAGATGATAGTTCACGCTCGGATGGGTGGGATTGGGGTCAGGTTAAGCTACGACGTTGCCACGCCATGGTGACTTAGCGCCAACCCTTTGCCTAGGTATCCCCGCATGACGTGCGAAGTATCAGAGGACCTGGCGCGTGACGTCCGTTCCAGTTCCTCTCGCCCAGTGTCCTGGACATGTGTTCATGAAAACGCCGCTTCACTCGTGTTTACTCGTTACTGACCCGCTCAAAATGCTCGGCTGTGCGGCAACGCGTCAAGCGCCTAGCCAGCACGCCTTGGCTGGGCGGTCGTGCTCACGCATGTCGAACGCGTGATGCCTAGGAACATACACCTGATCTCTCGAGTCATTCTCTACAAGACCAATGAGACGCTCGATCCAACGTGCTGGACGCGGTAGGTGTCTTCTCACGTTAGTTTGGACTAGGAGCTCACAATCTCAGGATGGCTTGTCTTGCCCCTCGGCAGACACCCCACTCGCCTTCGCTCTACTCCATTTCTTTTGCAGCCCCTGGCCAACAATGCGCCAGCCAATAATGCACAGAAAGGTGGAGAGCATGATGAAGCCAAGCAAGAGCGGAGTAAATTTGCCCGGAGCGTGCTCGAGGGCAGCACCGTTGCTCTGATATCGCTATTTGGGCTTGGCCTTGGCGGCTATGCCTACAGCCTATTTTACAAAAGGACAGTGGCAAAGAAGATTGAAAATGCTTTTGCTACAGGCTACAGCTCGCAAGAGCGAGTTGCCCTTGGTCGCGTGGCGTACGGTACCGAGCCAGACCAGATACAAAAGATTATTGAGAGAGAATACTGGGTTCCAAGAGCTGAGCAGCAGGATGTCGATGACATTGTCAGCGGAAAAGCAAGAGGAAGATACTATCTCATTATCGGTGAGCGAGGTACTGGCAAACGCGCGCTGCTTTTGGAATCCATGAGAAAGGTCAATGGCGATGGTATTGCTATGCTGGAAGCGCATAATGACCTGGAGGTGTTCCGCACACGACTGGGCAAGGCTATCGACTATGAATTTCACGAAGACTACATTGGGGGGTTGTTCAGTATCAGGGGTCCGCGAGACAGCTCACCGCTTCTGGACATTGAGCGGGCATTGAACCAGCTGGAAAAAGTAGCTTTGTCGATGAGAAAACGCCGCGGAAAGCCCTTACTCATGATTATCAACAACGTGCACTTGTTCAAGGACGACGAGCCAGGCAGGCATCTACTGGAGATCCTACAGCAGCGGGCCGAGATCTGGGCGGGCAACGAGCTCGTCACAACCGTCTTCACATCCGACGAATTCTGGACGCTGGAGCGCCTGACGCCACACGCGACCAACATGCACGTCATGAGCATACGCGACGTGCGCAAGGACATTGTCACCAAGGCCCTCAAGCAGTACCGAGCGCGGTACCACAACGAAGACACGCCATGCAGCATCCTCGACCAAGTCTATGCCCAAGTCGGCGGCCGCCTAATCTTCCTCAACCAAGTCGCCAAATCGCACGACATGCTGGGAACGTGTGCGCAAATCAATCGGCGGGAGAAATCCTGGTTCCTGAACAACTGCTGGATCCTGGGCGACTCGATGGACGACGACGTCGAGGAGCAGCAGAAATACTGTGCCGCGGCCATTATCCTCGCACGCGCACTGGTGCTCCGCGAAACACACCCTCGCACCTCGGACGCCTTTGTTCTGCCGGAAATGCCGCTGCACGAGGCGCGCCAGATCATCACGAGAGCGGATTTCGTGCACCCGTTTGACCACATCAACGTGGTGCACATTGATGCTCATGGCATGGTGCGCGCCGACTCGGTGCCCATGCAGAATGCGTTTCGCGATGTCGTGATGCAGCCGGGCTTCGAGGCCCATCTCAAGGCGACGCTGAATCGGCTCGACGAGCTGGAGAGCTTGGCGCGCACGAGAGAAGTGTCGATGAGGGAGCCGCCGGATAGGAGTGGTGGCATTGTGCCTGTGCAGACGTATTGTGCCAAGTTGTGAGAGGATGAGGAGGAGGAGGAGGAGGACCTTGTTACATTGCATGTTCAGAAGTGTCTCTTGTTCAACTAATACCGAATCGAAATGTGGTTTCCGCATCAAGTGTAGAAAGTGAAACAGAGTTGAGGGAAGCCTTTTGCGTTGTTCTGAGGTACGAAGAAAAAACATGCAGTGTCAATTATATGAAAGTGTATTGAGTATGTATGTATGATTTTCTGTTTTATCGCAAAGGACGAGGGATATCACTTATGATTATAGATTGACAAACTTAAACAGGCTCCTATTACCTGCCAGGTACACATTGAATATGTATGTATGTGTGTATGTATGTATGTACGTATGTCATGCATGAGCATCTCTACTTAGAGTTTCTTGGGTACTACGCCATGAAAATGGTCATTCCAACTCTGTGCCATGACGTGTCGTTCGCTGTGCAGCGACATGGTAATGAGATTTACTATGGAGAAACAAGGTATTCCATAAACAACGTCATACTCATCTTTCAAATGTATACTTTCCCCTGCTTTACCAAGGGGGTTGAAATGTAGAAAGAAAAAAAAAGCGTGGATGCGAGCAAAGAGTGTCATGGTATGGGTCCTGCGATATCATTGTAGATGTAGTCTCGTTGAAAAAAAAAGAAAGAACCGATGCAATGCCAAAATCATACAAAGATTAAGGCGGCAGGAACCTAGCATGGTAGCGAGATTCGAGGATTCGAGTTGCCAACCACGGAATACATTTGGGAGAGTGGTTTTCGTTGTCAGGTATCGTGCTAGCGGTTTAGCGATGTAGCTGTGCGAAGTAGTAGTTTTGGTACTTATAGCCGAACCGGTCCTATCAAAGAAGAACAGAAAAGGGCCTAGCCAAGGACCGATAACGGCGATGAAAGCATACATGAACAATTCAGGCTAAACAAAATGACTAGAGTATTAACTTTTTTTTTTCTTTTCAACTTAGTGCCGGTAACATATTCCCGCATCCTTGTCTACGTCGTCCATTTCCAATTCAATTTCCTCCTCAATCGTAGGTAGGACTTCGTACCGGCCCGTCTTGCCCATTCGCTTAAAGCACCTATCCGTGTGCAACAAATGGCCCCTCTTCTTCCTCACGAATCCCGCGAAACAGGCAGCGCTTGAGGCAATGGCGCCAGCACTGATGAAGATGGGGAGTTTGAACTGCACGGGGCGGTAAAACACCATTGTCGTGGCAAACGAGACCAGCTCAAAGAGGTTCTGCAGCGACATTTCGATGGCGGAGAAGGAGCCGCGCGTGGCCTCTGGCGTGTCTTCTTGCACGAGGTACTGGACGCACAGGTCGAAGCCCCAGAGGCCAAGGCGGGAAAAGCAGACGCCGAGGACGAGGGCGGCACCGGCGAGCATGGGCTTGTTGTCTAGCCAGAGGAAGAGGCCGATGGCCAGGGCAATGGAAACGAGCTGCTCGTTGATGAACCACAAGCCTGCGCGCACAGCGCTAATCTTGTTCATGAGCCACGGGGCTGCGACCGTGGCGGATAGCTCGAGGGCTACGGATACAAGGCGCATGATGGAGACGTGGGTACTGGTGAAGCCGAGGGTGAGGAGGTACGTCGTCATTTGCGACGCGAAGCTGAGGACGGTGAGGTATAGTAGGGACAGCGAAAAGGAGGCCAGAAAGGCGGGGTTTTGTATATAATTGCTCCACGGTCGGAGGTGCGATGCTATATTAACGAGGATGCGACGTGGACCAGGGTGTGACACGGTAGCCTGGTGGTCAGACTGTTGCACTGGGCTGTCTCGTGTTTCAGGGTGCTCGGGCTCTTTTCCGCGTGCGAGGGCTGGGATTGCCGCGTAGACGTGCGCTATGGCATAGTATTCCACGAGCACGCTGATGGCATTCTGGACAAAGACGACGGCGATGGCGAGCCGGGTGGAGTAGCCCTCGATGAGGCCAATGCCGACTGGGGCAACGAGCTTGCAGACGAGGTCGATTCTCCGCATGACACTGTTCAGCTGCTGGCGGTCTGCGTGGAGACTATCGGAGACGACAATGATCCAGTCTCTTTCAACGGAAACAGTATTGGCGACAAAGGCCAGTTTCTCTACGCATGCCAGGAGCACACTGGCGGCGAATAGGGCATAGGCAGTGAGTCCCTTTTCTTCGCCGGCAGCCAGCAGAAACGCCAGAACAAGACAGGAGGTAGCGACAGACAGTCTTTGCCAGACGATGCTCTGGCGGACGACATGGAGTCTGTTCTTGCGATCGACCTGGCTGCCTATCCAGGAACCCAGGACGGCGGCGGCGGCGGAGCGACACAAGGCATAGCACGAGGCAAAGAAAAGAGTTCCCGGAAAAATAGCAGCGAGGAAAATGATGGCGCCAAACTCAAAGGTGCGCGCGTTCCATGTCGAAAGTATGTGCGACACGTAAAGCCGCCACAGAAGTGGCTTGGTCGTGTTCGTATCGGGCAATGCGGGGTAATCACGGTCTGGGGGTGCGGCAGTAATAATGACCGACGAACGCGAGGACGGCAACGGCAGCGGTGATGGTGTCTTCATGGCGGCGAGTAGGCGTGCAGGGAAGAGAGAGGAGGCTCAGCGCAGCAGTAGTGGCAGGCAAGAAGCGACGACGACGACGACGGCGACATGATATGGTGATGATGATGATGAGAGGAGGAGCATTACCGTGATGGTCATGAGACTGTGGGCAAGCGGACGTGTGGGCGGCCCGTGCTTGCCTTAACGGGCAGCGTTGTCGAAATAATTTTCTTCTCCTCTAGTTCCTGCCGCATTCGGGCGCTGGCTGGGCTGGCTGCATATGCATCGGTTAATTTGCGCCATGTGGCGCGTGATTGGTGCAAAAGGCAAAGGGTCCATCCAGCACTCTATCGCTCCACGTCGGCCCGACATGCTGCTGTGCTCAGCTGCCCATTAAGCTTTCGTCGTGAATCATGCCCCACGCCACCCGTTGAGTCTACGTACTCGTAGTAATCCGGTGTCCGCATGCAGCAGACTAGGCCCGCACCATTCTCCCTCGTGTACATACACGCATACATACATACATAGTACATGCTGGAGCCATGTGGGCAAGCCCATCACCATGCATGCAGCCAATGGCAACCGTGGACCTGGAAGAAAATCTGGTTAAAACTATCACAAACATATATGCCAGCATGCGAGAAATTGTCGACCACTTTTTCCCGCCAGTCGGGCTGCTCGTGCCTGCGGGAGGCGAGGCATATACCGACTTCAACTACTGGCGCGACCCGCCTCTGGACATTACGGATTTCACCGACAGTGAAGACGAGGACGAGGACGATGACACGGAAGCGGCTAGTCTGCACAGCGAAGACGAGAGGTCAGAAATGGGCGAGGACCTGGAGGGGAGCTACATGTCGCGGGACTCGCTTGACGAAGGGGGCATGGGCGACTCCATCATGGAAAGCGTAGAAGGTGGTGACTATGTGGACGGGGACGAGTATGAGGAAGACCATGACTCAGAAGACGACGACTCGGAGGGGCGTACAAGCCGGACTATAGAGCCACATGACCGGGTGGGCCATGCTGCAGAACGTTTGCAAACATTAGGCGTCAGAGATGGGATGCCGGCTGGGCGAGGCCAGCTGAAGAGGTAGATGTGGGCTGAGGGGGGGGGGGATTGATTTGACTTTGTTGATTGCATAGCATGGCATGGATTCGGCGTTGGCAAGGAAGGCTATGGAGCTCATCCCAGAGCGGTAGATATTTGTTGTGTAGCCCCGTCTTGTACGAGTTGAGCGACAGCACATCCAGACTGACTTCAGCATTCGAGTTGATGGTGAAGATGCGCGTCGACGGAATGTTGACCGAGCGGTATGACAGCGCGTCTGTGAAACGATTGCCAAACCCGGCGTAAAAAGGCGTCTGGCCCGGCGGCTTGTTGAACAGCTGCATAATGTCCCGAAGACAGGCCATCTTGAACACCTCGGGCTTCCTGAGATAGATTTCACGCCGAAGTGCGGCAATGGTGCGGTCGGGACTCATGATGACTGGGCCTTTGGGAAGACGGTAGTTGTCTTGCACCACGCCGTTCAGATAGGCTCTTGTCGTGTCGGCCTGTCCAACAGAGCGACTGGTCAGATAGAAGATGTTGTATCCATTGTTGACAATGTCCGTGTAGAGCTTTGCCACACCCTGGTGAGTCCAGTCCCTGCCAATCATATTGAGCACATGGCCGAGGGCGTCCGACTTGGTAATGGTGCCGTCAATGTCCGAGATGACAATGGGCACATCGTGCTTCCAGTAGAACATGTACGCTTCGCACTTGGAACGATTCACCGTGAAGCTCATCGTGTTGGCACCTGGCTTGAGGTCGAGGGCTTTGAGCTGTTCACTCGTTAGGCGCAGTGTCTTTGCGTACGTCTTGGTCTCGTTCTTGTGCGCCTCGGGCGAGTGCGGTGCAGACATGCCGAGTGCACTATCCGAGTCTCGGTGGACTCGAGGAAACTGGGCCGTGTCATCGCTGCGACCACTGTCGCTCTGGTAGCCAGGATCCGACAGGGCGTCGGCCGACTGGAGAGCGCCCTCGTTCAGGACGTTCATGGCAGTCTTGGCCATGGCTGCTGCCTTGGCTTCCTCGCTGCTATAGATCCACAGGTTTCCGTTCTCATCAGCGCCGATCAAGGCGCCAATATCGTAGTCGCCGGCAAGCTCGTCTGACAGGATGCGGCGGGCGATGACTTCGGCGCGCAGGGCATCCTCCTCGCTGCTCTTGTAGCCCGTCATGTCGAGTTCCAGGTCGCCCGTCTCGGTCACCTTGTTTGGGATGTTGGAGGTAAAGAGCTTCTTGGACAGCTTGATGGCACGGGCGAGGGCCTCACTGGGCGACACAGGCGGCGGGCTGGCTGAGCGCGTCGACCTGTTCCATGCCGTGGCATCCTCCTCCTATTCCAGCAAGACTGCATGCACACGCGCCCTCGCTGCCGCTTTCTCCGGCCAGCCGCCATCCCATGACCGGCACCTGACGTCGACCCCCCCCCCGGCCAACCTGACGTTCCTGACGTCTGTGAGGCGGCCGCCCCGCTGACGATATTGATATCCCCAAAGTAGCCCCGGGAGCCTCGCCTTTTCTCCCGCGTGCGCGCGCGCCCTCGACTCCCACGCCCTCTTCCGCCCGCTGCCCCCAGCGCCCGCTTCCCTCGGCCAAAGCGCCCGCGACCAAACCCATTGGCATGTGAAGGCCCTGAACCAACTGCCTTGGGCCCCGACACACATACACACACACACACACGCACGCACGCACGCGCTTTCCAAACACCCGCATCGCGGCGCAGCCCAGCGCATCGCATCACCACGCCTCGCCTCGCCTCGCCTCGCCTCAGCTGGCCGCCAAAACCCGTCTGACGTAGACGCCCGACACTTGCTGCTTCCTCCCTCTCCCTCGCTCCCTACTTCCCACCACGCCCGGCGCCACCGAGCCCGCTCCCACGCCCGCTCCCACGCCCTCAAGATGAATTACGTGAGATCTCTGACGGGAACCGTCTCCAAGGGCTGGAACTCAATCAACCCCGCCACCCTCAGCGGCGCCATCGACACCATCGTCGTCGAGCACCAAGATGGCAGCCTGGCCTGCTCGCCCTTCCACGTCCGCTTCGGCAAGTACCAGATACTGCGCCCCTCGGACAAGAAGGTCGAGTTCCGCGTCAATGGCGAGTTGCAGGACTACTCGATGAAGCTGGGCGAGGGCGGCGAGGCCTTTTTTGTCTTCGAGACATCGCACAACATTCCCGCAGAGATGCAGACGTCGCCCATAGCCTCGCCCGCTGCCAGTCCAGAGCAACAGGCTGCCGAAATGGCCTCGGACCGCCCCCTCGACGAGCCCGAGCCGCTTGATCTCGACGGCACCGGTGTCGCAACCAGGAGAGGCCGCATGTCCATGTCCATGCCACCCGTCGACAACATGCATGCCGACGACTCGGAATACGACCGCCCCAAGTCGGGCGACTGGTCGGGCTTCCATATGCACAGAGCCAGCACCGACGTGACGATGCCCTCGGTCAAGGACGGCTTTGCCAAAACCTTTGACGCCTCGCAGCCACAAGAGAGGGGGCCTCTGCAGATCAGCATGGGTGTGGATGGAGATGGATGGATGGATGGATGGATGGATGGGTGGATGGATGGGACGCTCTTTGGCAGGCACATGGGGGGGGGCGCGGGGCATGCGTATCCAAGTGTTGGTGGTGTTGCATGGCATGGCATGGCATTGCGGTGGGAATGTTGAGGGCTCAGCCAAACCATGTGTGCTGTGAGCATTCATGCCCATCTCTGCAGCCCCCCCACGCGCCGCCGCCAGCCAGCCAGCCAGCCAGCCGGCCATGCAGCCAGCCCTACGAGGTGTATCCATATGTGTCCTACATGTGCTGGAGTAGTGGTCGTGGTAGCGGCTCATGTAACTGGCTATGCATGGGTGCATGATGCATTCTCCGCCCGCCTTGCCGGCCTTGGCAACATGCAGCATACATCATACGCCCACACCTGTACATGTACACACAGTACCAGGTCCAGTTCCTGTGCATGCCCACCACTGCATGCACCGCACTCGCACTCGCACTCATGCTCAACGCGTGCTGCACACGATGCGGCGTCATGCCGAGGCCGGCGGCTGCCGTCGCAGTCGCAGTCGCAGTCGTGGTCGAGTGGGCAGGGAAGCCCCGGTGCAGCCAAGACATGGCCACAATGCTTGTCGCGCGCCCCGGCCGCACTCGCTGCTCGCTCTCGCTCTCGGCCCGCCGCTGCTCCACATCTTCATCCATCCATCCATCCATTCATTCACCCACCCACTCATCCATTCATTGCCATCACCACCCAACCCTCACTTCCCTGCGCGCGCGCCCTCTCTCTCCGCTCCACCCTCTTCACCCCGTCCGCCCCGCCGCCATGTTCTCCGACCCCGCCCACGCCCTGCACTGGCCCCCCGACGTCGCTCGCTACAACATCGAGGCCCTGCTCTTCTCCTCGTCCGGCTGGTTTCGCACCTCCTGCCTGGTCTTCGCTCTCTTCTGGTATGCATGGCTGCTGTAAACACGTGCTCGCGCTGTCGTTGACCTCGCCCCCTCCCCCTCCCAGGGTCGCTTTCCGCGCCTACCAAGTCCTCACCCAGCCCGTCGAGAAGCTGGTCCAGGTCCTCGGCCTCGAAGTCCCCGTCGCCCCGCTCGTCTCGCTCGCTGGCATCAAGGCCGACGGACTTCTTTTGCACTGGAAGCCCCCCGACCAGCGCACCTCGGTCCTGAAATATGTCATTCGCATCAACGGCATCGACAGTACGTCTCGCGCATGCCGCCACCCTCGTGCCCGCCACATCGGCTAACCCGCTGCTGCAGTTGGCGACATATCGCCCCAGGAGTCGTCCATCACCATTGAAAACCTCCAGCCTGACCACCACTACACAATTCGCATCGTCACGCTCAACTCGTCGAGCTTCCAGGCCCCCAGCGTCCCCATCCGCCTCCGAACATTGCCCGCCGACTCGGACGACTTTTACGGCCCGCATCCTCCCAAAGATGCCCCAACCCCCGCCGACGACAATGACTACACCCCCACCCCAATCATCCGCCCCAACAAGTCCCTCGCCGACGTGGTTACCTCCGTCGCCGCGCCCCCCATGACGCGCGAGCACAGCAACAGCACTTCTCGCATGAGGCGCCCGGATATCGGCAGGCGGCCCTCGCCCGCGTCGCATGAGCAGGGGCGAGCTCCTCAGGAGCCAGAAGGCCCAGATTCTATTCGCCAGCTGACGGAAAAGTTGGACGGCCTTCGCCGTGAGCTCGACGACATGGAGCGTCAGATCCAGGATGAAGACCAGGAATTCATTACCCAAAAAGCAATCCTCACAGACAAGCGTGACGAGAAGAAGGCTGCACTCAAGGAAAAGGAGGATGCCAGCCGAGATTTGCGCAAAGAAGTAGCCAGCCTTGAGCGCCAAAATGCCGCCGCCCAGACCAAGCGCGCTCACCAAGAGAAGATCTTCCGACAGAAAGAAACAGAGAGGAAGAAGCTCAAGGACGATGTTGCCAAGTGGACTCGCGAAGCAGTTGAACTCCGCGAGACGGCTGAGAAGATGAAGAAGGAGCAGGCCGAGTACCAAGCCGCGTCCGAAAAGCGCATCCAGGAACTCAAGGAAAAATACGCAGAGGAAACCCAGGCCAACAAGCTCTTGGAGGATGCTATCCGCGAGAAGGGAACCCACATCAAGGCCCTCGAAGAGGAAAGAAAGAAGCTGGAAGCAGGCCAGGAGGGCGCAGAAGCGCCAGACGGCCCCGACAACGCGGAAAAGGAAGAGGACAACCGATGGAAGATGACTCTTGGTTTGCTGCAACAGCAGTATGCCCAGGCCTGGGCTCTATACGCCGAAGCCGAGAGGGCTCATCAAGACGCAGCCACTAGGTTGGCGTACATGCAGCAACGTCGTTTGAGCCAGCCCCAGCTCTTCTCAGGACCATCGATCCCCGAAATGGGCCCAGTCAGGCGGAACAGTCAACGAGCTCGACCACTCAGTATGCGCGAAGGCCTGCTTTCGGCCGCCACGGGAGGCTTTGTCCATACTTCTTCAGCACCCTTTAACAGCATTCCAACGACCGCCTCGCCTTCGTTTGCCAATCCAACTCCTTACTTCAACCCGGTAAACGGCATGGCCTTGCCTCCTCGCACGTACAGCACTTCGTTTTCGCAAACCGACTTGGATAGCTTGACTGGAGGAGCGCCCATGAGCCCCACGGCCGGTGCTTTACTTCCAGCAGGCCTGTTCGGAGACGACCTGGGGCTGACCGAAGACGAAGACGATGATCCAGGTCCGCCTCAGGCCCCTTCTTCTCACAATCCTTCACCGCACATGAGGAATGTCCTACCTGGCCTTGGCGCCCCTGGCACAATGCGCTCTGCACAAAATTCAAGCCTGCCAGCTTCACCACGAAGCCAGTCTCCTCCTGCCTTTGCTAGCCCGAGGGAGAGTGCCGGCGACCTATCAATCCAGCCAAGTAATGACTTCAATGTGGACAGCGATAAACGCTCTATTCACTCCACGTCGAGCTCGTTCCAAATGAACCCCCAGACCAGTCGGTTCGGCGGACTCTTTGGGCTCAATCGGGCGCGCGGCAAGACATTTTCAGACGAGGGCCCTGCTTTGGGATCACTGAAGCCGTCACAGAGCCAATCACTTCCTCGCCAAGAGCACGGCCTGGATGGGCTGGGGGCTCCACATCGCCGGGGCAGCCATTCAGAAGGCTCATGGTATGATGCATTCATCCGCACCAAGACGCAGCCCATCGAGTCCACCAATAGTCCGAAACATGTAGCTACTCGAAAGCGCCCTTTCAACATGTTTGGCAGTGCAAAGGGGGATGATCCCTGGCTGCGCTCCATGCTGGGCATGCATCAGAGGCCAGAATCACCCCGCCAGGGCTCGATAAACTCGGGAGAAGGCACGGCTCTGCCGAGACCTTCAACAGAAAGCCAGACGCGGTTTGGTTGGAATGTGGATGCCTTTGGCGCCAGAGCCAGCCCTCTCGGAGTGGATTGGAGTGTCAACAACACCAACACGGCCTCATGGTCTCGATTAGGATCTCGTCGGCCCTCCGTGCAGCATGGGCCTGGCGCCAACTTGATCAACGAAGATATCATGCATGACGACGTCTTGGACTTTCCTTCAAACACGCGCTCGCCTACTCAGGCGCCAATTGGCACCCGGCCGCAGTCGTCTGCCTCTCATATGCCGGGCCAGCCTTCGGGCTCGTCTCTTCCACCGATTCCGCCCACCCCACCGAAGCAACTCAACCCAGCAGCGGCAAGCTTCACCATGTTCCAGCTGGGCAAGAAGACTGAAGAAGACAGGGCCGAAAAGGCCAAACGGGCTGCAGAAAAGGCAGCCGAGAAGGAGGCCAAAAAGGCGGAAAAGGCGGAAAAGAAAGAGGAGAAGGACAAGAAGGCCAAGGCGGACAAGGCTGAGAAAGCGTCACGCAAGGACAAGCATACTCCTTCGGAGGCTGGCGACTCCCGCGAAGCGACTTCTCCACGCTTGGACTCGCGCATGTCGCGCGACACTCCCTCCATCTCCACTGTCGACGTATCTGAGACCTCTCCATGTGAAACCCTCGAGCGCAGCGTTTCGTATACTGCTTCAGATGCTGCAGGCTCAATAGGCAAAGAGTCGTTCATGCAGAAACTGACGCGCAAGGGCAGCACCAACCAATTCCTGACTTTTGGCAAAAAAAGTGGCCTCTTCTCTAAGAGCAAGGCTGGCGACATACCCGGAACTCCAGACGAAGTGGAAGAGGAAGGCTCGGGCGGCTTCTTTGGTCTGGGCAAAAGCTCAGACAGTGTAGGCAACAGTCCAAGCATTGGTACTTCCAAAGACAAGGCCAGTATGTGGGGATCTATCAAGCGAATTGGTAAGAAGGATAAGACGCCGAGCTTGCATGAGAGCATCACTAGTGAAGCAACTGGGGACGAGGAGGATATGGTTGCTGAACATGACAAGGTATAGTCTTTGCACAGCGAATTCTTTCGAGTAAAGTCAGCATTTCCAATACCAATGCAGTGCACATGCACATGTTATTCATGAAAAAAATTTTTTTTTTCCCCTCTTTGGCTGGTCGCTCGTGCTCTGCCTGGCGTTGGTGTGACGTTTCCCCGGATTCTGTACTTGCCTACCCCAAGCCGCATGCCAAGCACTGCATGCGCCGTGCGGCTTTGGCGACTTCACCAACACGCCCGACGAGCTGCCCGCAACCTCGCGCGCCCACGTCACATTACAGGCAACATGGCTTCGCCAGCCGCAGAAAACGTGCCGAATGGCATTTCCACGCCGCCAGCGACTGCGAACGCACCCACTCTCAGCCCCCCCACGCAGCCACAAGCAGCATCGCAACCGTCACAACCATCCAACGGCGCGCCGTCGAATCCCCCGGGCAGCATGAGCGCAGCCTTTCCGTCGACCTCACTGCAGGACAGTGGGGCAAGCAAGCGCCCCCGCGATGCGCGCCTCATCCATCTTATCCTGGCCAACATGGGCGTACACGCCTACACGGAGCGCGTGCCCCTGCAACTCCTCGACTTTGCCTATCGGTACACTTCGTCGATCCTGTCTGATGCGCTGTCTTACGAGCCCCCGCTGCCCACAACATCCGCTTCCAAGAAACGCAGCGGCGCAAATGCCGACGGTGGAGAAGACGGCGTCTCGCTGAATGCGCTGCGCACGGCGGTCGGGGCGCGCGCCGCCAGCACCTTTCAAGGCACGCTCGGCAAGGACTTCATGAGCGAGGTTGCGCTCGAGCGCAATCGCATTGCACTGCCGCGCGTGGACCGCGAGTTTGGGATCCGGTTGCCACCTGAGCGGTACTGCTTTACCGGGGTGGGGTGGGGCGTCAAGGGCGCGTGGGAGGAAGACATTGAAGAGAGCAATGAGGATGTGGATATGGATGATGATGTAGGAGCGAGCGCTGCAGGCTTTGGAGGGCCCGTCGGCGGTGTCAATGGAAATGCAAACACAGCAGGCGGGGAGGGAGGGGATACGACCATGGGGGGCATGGAAGACGAGGACCAGGACGACGATGAATTCGAAGAGGCCATGGGTCTCAATCAGGGCAACAATGGCTAATCTACCTCTTCCAACGACGAGTGGGGGATGATGGGATGAGCAGCCACAGCAGTGGCAGCGGGGGAAACTGCGAAGACAGGCGTTGGTGGTTATGTAGCATTTCACGGCGTTGAGAGAGATATGCTTAGTCCGTATTTATATACCAGAGCTGGACCGGCTCAGTCTGCACTGTTGCGCTCTCCAAAATGGCGATTCCTAGGTATTTACACGTACTGATCCTACAAATGCCTTTTGTCGTCTCTACCCCCCTCGCTGCACAATAAACGCCATGCAAATGCTGTTTCTTTTCTTTTTGTCTCTGATAGACGTGTCAATGTGGACGCACCGCATCCCATCACGTCCCCCGATATATCCCACCCCTCGTAACGCCCCTATCATCGACGCGATTCTCCTCGCGCCGCCTCAACCCCGCCTCATTGACCTGCTCCGCCCTCTTGCCAGTTGTTCGTCCCTGCTCGTCTAGATTCCACCATTCCTTGTGCTTATTCCTGGCGTCTTCTAATTTCCTCTGATGCTCTTCTCTGGCCTGGTATTTATCAGCACACAAACGACGACGAAGAAGAAGAAAGAAGATCGAGACAAGAGAGAGAGAGAGAAAGAAAGAGAGAGAGAGAGGGGAGGCATACCTTCTTTCTCTCTCCCGCAAGCGCAAACCACTCGGCCCTCGCCTTGTCCAACTCATCCTGATTCTGGTACTGCAGCATACAGCTGTTCATGGCAAGGCGCGGCTGTCGACACGCATAGATCATGGTGAATGTGCGGCCGAGCGCGCACGAGGCAAACGTTTCGATTTCCTTTGCGCATTTGGCTCGCACGTTTTTGTAGTACAGGTCGCGGACTTGCTGTTCTTGCGGGGCCGACAGCGGCGTCGGGTTGCTGGGGAGCGCGTTGGTGCCGACTATCATGCGGTCCGTCATTGTGGTTTGCCGGCTTCTCTAGTACTCTATATAGGGTTGGTTGCCTTTATCCATGTACACGAGTAGGTGAAGGTGAGGCGACACACTGCGTCTTTTGTGCAGGGCTAGTTAGGGCGTGCGGGGCAAGAGTTGCAACAGCAAGCTGTGTTTCAATGCGCGCTGCTCCCGGCGTGCGTGTGGTCAATTGGGTGTTGGAGGTGCGGGCCTCCGATGAGGGGGGAATTCCAGTGCGTGTGGTAGGGCGGTTCAAAGTCAAGACGGATACGATTACTTAGGAGCAGGCATCCGACAAGGCCCTAAAGCGGATACGGAGCATGCAGGCAAAAGCTGGCGGTCGGCGATTCAGCCAACGCTGGTGCCGATGAGCGTCTGCTGATGAGCCGAGGCTCACGTTCAGTGGGTGGGTAAGGAATAGCCCGTCGCTGCGACGACTTCACATGCTGCTGCGGCTGCCAGGAGCTCCGTTTCTTTCACACGACACAGGTCACCATCACTACTGCTAAAACAATCCACACGATGAAGATTGCGGACCGCACATTTCTTATAAGCGGCGGCGTGTCTGGCCTCGGTCTGGCAACAGCACGCGCGCTCCACCAACAAGGCGCATATGTCTCCCTGCTCGACCTCAACGCCGACAACGGATCAACAATCGTGTCTGAACTTGGCGCCCGCGCAAAGTTCTTCGAAACAGACGTCACGGATACCCAGGCCATCACCGCAGCAGTGCAAGGAACAGTCGCGTGGGTCAAGGAGACAGGAAAGCACATTGGAGGCGTGGTAGCAGGCGCAGGCGTTGGACTGCCAGGCCTGATCATTGACAAGAAGAATGAGCCGCTGAGCATCGAGAGCATTGATTTCGTACTAAACGTCAACCTGCGAGGGACGCTGGATCTGATCCGTCAGACACTACCGCATATAACTACTGCGCCTCCTGCCGACGCCGACGGCTCCCGCGGCGTCATCATCATGATTGCGTCTTCGGCCGCCTTTGACGGACAAATGGGCCAGGTCGCATATGCAGCTTCCAAGGGCGCCGTTGCATCCCTCACGCTCCCTCTCGCTCGCGATCTTTCAAAGTATGGCATTCGGGCGGTGACGATAGCGCCGAGCATGTTCGATAGCGCAATGACGCGCATGATGACCGACAAAGTCAGGAAGAGCCTGGAGAACAGCATGGAATTCCCAAAGAGGCCGGGACAAGCCGACGAATTTGCGAGGTTGGTGGTAGAGTGCATTGGTAATGACATGTTGAACGGAACCGTGTTGCGCTTGGATGGCGCAATGAGGATGCCTGCCAGACTATAGTGTCTCTCTGCATGTCCGAATGCTCAACATCGAGCAGAGTCAAGTCAAGTCTTTTCTTTGTATCAGCGCTTGCGCTCGCGGATCTTGAACTTGACGCCGTGCTTGTTGACGCCCCCCACTGTGTTGTTCATTTTGGCGCGCTGCAACTCCAGCTCCTCCTCGGCGAGCATCAACTCGCGTTCCCGCCTCTTGATCCCTTGCAGTTTCGAGGCGGTCCTTTCCAGGGCGCGCTCTCGGTCTTTGCGGAATTTCCTGGCCTCGCGCCGCGCTTGCTCCTGTGCCTCCATCTGCTTCTTGGACAGCGTGTTGGACTGCTGCGTAGGTGCTTCTTCGTCTTGTAATAGCTCGTCTTGGAGGTCGCCAAAGGTGGGCGGTTCTGCTCGCCGAGGCATCTGCTCGCCACGTCCAAACCACGTGTCCGGGTCGAACTCGTCCTGCTCGTCTTCGTTGTCAACGAAAACCCTGTGCTTGCCCTGCTTGGCCCGCTCCCCGTCCTTCAACGCCCGCACCTCGCCCTGCTCCTCCATGACCAGCTTCCGCTCCAGCTCCTCTCTTTCTTTCCGCGTAACCTGGAGCATAGTGCGGATGTACCCCGCGTCTTGCGTCTTGAGCAGCTTGACGACATCCAGGCTCAACGCCTTGTTGCCACGGTCCGCCACCTTCCTGCCCTGCTTGTCCACATGCGACGACATCATCTTGAACGAGAACTCATCGGGATTGCGGTCGCGCGCCTTCTCACTCAGGATCTTGAGCTTGGCCTTCTTTTCGCGGTGGTCGGCTGCGCGCAGCTTGTAATCTTTGCGCTTCTCGAGAAGACCCCATTTCTCGCGCTCGAGGGGCTGCGCGCGCTCCTTGTGGTTGCGCCGCTGGACGGCATTTCGCATCGACGACATGGTGGGCGGCGATGGCGGTGTTGGGGCGCGTGTGTTGTCGCTGGCGCAGAGTCGACGAGGTGCTGGGCCGGGACTGGAAATTCTTCGGGCTGCCAAGACTTGGCCCCGCCGAAATCCTGTGTGGACGTCCGTGCCCCCGCCCCTCCGCTCCCCCTCCGCTCCCCCCTTCCTCGCCTCTTCCTCTACTCCCCTCGTCCACAGTACGTCCGTACGCCAGATGACAATTCAACCGCCACGGCCATGTGCGGCACTATATCCCTTACGCTCTCCATTGTTGCATCAACGCATTGGATGCAATCATCCGACCGCTGAAATTGCCTATGCGTCTCCGACCTTCCAGCCAATGCACACAGCAATGCGCAAGGGTCGCTAGCCTACGCCGACTTAGCTGCCGACTTTGCTTTGCACGCAGAACGTGTCCAAGACAGGAAGCAGATCAATCCACCACCCAACAAAGCGACCCGCAACGGCTCGTCCTGGCAGCCGTCATCTCGTCCGCGACAATGGTACCATTATCTTCAAACCACCGAGGTACCAGGATACTCTTGACAGGAACATATGGGTGAGATTTTAGCATCATGTCACTTCTGCCGCGACGCAAAAACTCTAAATAAGCGCCGCACGTTGGAAACGAACCTTCATGCTCTGGCCGGAATGCCAAGTCAGTGTTGAAATGATGCCCAGGAACCCGCTGCCAGCTCCGGATGATTTGATAACAACCTGTGGCTGTGTCCGTTTTGGTCGCGCGCCTCATTCAACCGGCACCAAGGCCAAACTCAGTTGACGATGACAAGAAATAGAGACTTTTCCATACATGGTCTTCCAACATGCATTCTGAGATACACAAGTTAACGTGGCGATGCGGTTGGGTTGAGCAGAGACATCCTAGCCACAACTCATTCTTCAACAGCCACCGCACGTATCGCACACAACGACAAGGCAGAACGGGACACGCTTCTGTAGCGTCTTGGCCCTTAGCTGCTAAAGTCCACCTTTTTGCACGTCTGGCCGCTGCAGTAATTTCACGGCTTCTACCAAATGGTGATCACCTTCGTATCCACAATCGTTCGTGACCCAAGCACCGTGCATACAAGATGTGGCATGTCAACATTAAATACAAGCGGGCCTCCCAGCTTCGACAAGGCCATCCAGTCGCTCCTTTCTTTTCCATTCTTGAATTCCACCCTTGTGCTCAAATACAGCATATTCATCACATTCGTTTTCAGCTTTGACTCCTTTGCAGGACCATCTTGACCGATAACTTCACTATTTCAATATGATCTCCCAAGTCGCTCTCTTATTATCGCTCGTCGCCAACATGGCGGCTGCGCACACTCTGGATATCCCTACCCGATCTGGCGACATCATCGCACTGCCCAAGCCTAGCGTCATCACTGGATACGAGGATTTTGGCAACAAGGAGTTCGACCGTGGCCACCCATGCAACTCGGATGACGATACTGGCAGCGAGAATGCTGTTTTCATCCTCCAAGATGGCGCGTCCATCTCCAATGTCATTATTGGTGCTGACTCGCTTGAAGGCGTTCACTGCTTGGGCTCTTGCAACCTGACCAACGTCTGGTTCCGTGATGTCTGCGAAGATGCAATCTCCATCCTTGGCCCTGGTGATTCTCTCATTGTCGGCGGGGGAGCACAAAACGCTATTGACAAAGTTGTCCAGCACAAGTATGCTTCTCGTGCCTCAAGTCTATGAAACGTTACTGACGCGATTCTAGTGGTCCTGGAAGTGTTACCATCCGCAACTACACCGTCGTCAATGCCGGTAAGCTCTACCGCTCGTGCGGTGACTGCACCAACAACAGCAAGAAGTCTCCCCGTAAAGTCATTGTCGAGAATGTCAGGGCCTTTGGCCTGACCTCTGACTTGATTGGCATCAACTCCAACTTCGGTGATACTGCAACGATCAGCGGCTCTTGCGGAAGCACCAAAATGGTCTGTGGAGAGTACAAGGGCGTCGACAAGGGTAACGGCAAAAGCGAGAGGATCTCCACCCAGGACCAATGCAACGGTGAGCAGGGCAAACTCCAGAAGCTCCCAGAGTGCGGAGCGTCGGGAAATCAGCCTGGCACTTCTGTGCAACCCACCAGTACCCAGGCTGCCGCTACCACTCTCGTCACCAAGGCCTATGCTGAGCCAACTCCTGTTAAGTCAGCTCCTGCCGAGCCAACTCGTGTAGAGTCAACTCCTACCGAGTATGATATGTAAAGAAGCTTCATGATGTTGGGTTAGTAATTTCATGATAGATGCAGCGACAGCGACAGCGTGCCAGAATGAATACAGTATGGTGGCAAGGCCTACTACTTGCGCTTCTGGAAAGCGCATCAAGGGCAACGACTGATACTATCAGCATGTTTAAATCTTGCATAGCATGCATGCGATACCCAGTCGGCACAGTGTGTTGAGGCCTCAAAACTACCGGACCTTTCTTCTGTCAATATTCTTCTGTCAATATTCTTTTGTTGTTAATACTTTCTTATCAAGTAACACATCTACTGTACATGGCTTTCAGACCTAATCTACTTTACCTTGATGGTATTTCTATTATCAGGATGATCCAAGCCTCTCATGAATTCACCCACGGAGACAATCTCGCTCAGTCATCTCCCTAGTAATGACTGGCTGTGCAGTCCTGCACATGAACGAGGTTGGAGTCAAAGATGACATCAACCGCTGGTCTGTACCTAAGCGAGCACCACCTTGAAACTGCCCCGGAACATAGCTGCCACCCCTCTTAATCTCTCAACACCACGTCTTGGCGCACATCTCCAAGCAAACAATGATTCGTTTCAATGCGGGTTCGCTACCTTATCTAGAAGCAGTTGCGGCCTGCATGACTGCGCCGGTGGTGTTGGCATCTCCTCACTCTCAGCCAAGCTTGGAGTCTTTATTTTTCCGGCAACCGACGGGGTCATACCAGGATATGGCAGTAGCGCCATGTCGAAACCTGGAGAAATGCGATGATCGGTTCCCGGAACAAGCGCAGAGCCCCGCTGTACGTCTTGTACCGCCCATGTTACTGGGGGCTCGGGTTATCAGGCCCCGCCGCTGCTTGGCCGGCACACACTGGTGCATGTGCAACCGGCTATATGAAGTCCAGGCCGTTTAACCTAGGCATGTTCGTTACCCCCCAGATCACGCTTCTGCAACTTCAAAATGCGTCTCGGCACGCTGTTGTGCCAGCTCGTGTTAGCTTCTGCAACTACTTCCGCAAAATGGATCGTCCCAGGAGCGCGATGGAGAGCGACCGACGGCTCACTTGTGAATGCGCATGCCGGAGGAGTAACTAGAGACGCTGGAACTGGAAAGTTCTTTTGGTTTGGAGAGTACAAGGTCCAAGGACAAGAAGAGGGTGGTGGTGTGAGCGTCTACAGCTCCAGTGATCTTGTAACATGGGAACCTCATGGCCTTGCTCTGGAACCAATTGAGGGTCATCCGCACATCTCAAACGAAGACATTATCCAAAGACCCAAGGTTGTTTACAGCGAGGCGACTCGCCAGTACCACGTAAGAGACCGACCCAAAACTTCTCGGGGGCTCGACTGATCATGTGTAGATGTGGTGGCATGCCGATAATAGGACATATGGAGAGCTTCTTCAAGGCCTCGCTGTTTCCGACAACATTACTGGGCCCTATACCTATGTCGATGCCACGGCGCCTCTTGGAAACTGGTCGCAGGATTTTGGAATGTTTGTAGACCAAAAAGACGGGCGTGCATACGCGCAGTACTCCAACGGCGACCGCCGAGAAGGGCGGGATGTTTACCTCACGTCTTTCAATGAGAACATAACTGCGTTGGACGAGGTTGTTCACCGCTTTGACAAGTACGATCTGGAAGCCCCCAACATCGTTCAGACAGACAAGAGCTACTTTGCCCTCATGTCTCACAAGACGGGATATCGGCCAAATAGTAAGATGGTTTCCTTCGTAGCGATGCGCAAATCACTGACTAGATTAAGATGTGGTGGCATTCCGTGCTGACTCACTTTCTGGTCCTTGGTCGCAACCCTTCATCATCGCACCCTTGAACACGCGCACTTTCAACTCGCAATCGGGTTTCAACCTTCGAATCAACGGTACCAAGAAGACAACCTATATTTACATGGGAGATCAATGGGATTCCAATTCATTGTGGGAATCGAGGTAGGAAGCTTGTCGATCTGGACTCTTGATGAAATAGTGTACTGAAGTTTTGCAGGTACATTTGGCTTCCGATGGAGATTAACGAAGAGGAAAAGTCTCTCGAGCTTGTATGGCATGATGTCTATGATCTCAATGTAGAGACTGGTGAAATCACGCCGATTGAAGGTACTACTTACTACAACATGGAGGCGACAACGACTGGAAAGGCCTATCACCAAGAAGCCACCTTTGCGAGCGACAAGACGATTGTGACGGGCATCTACGGCAATGATAGCAAAGCTACCTTTCACAACGTTGAAGGTAGCGGCAAGCCTCAATGGGTCTCTTTCTACTATCAAAATACTGACGACATGGGCTTCGGTGACCAGCCGGGTGGCACACCCGATCGCATCAATGGAACATGGCAGCTTCGTCGCATCTCGAGCGTCATTGTCAATAACAAGACGGAGGAGCTCCAGACACTGTACCAGCGAGATACTCACAAGGGCATCATTTTGAGTTCCCCGCTCATGTTAAACTTGGACAAGGGGAGTCACAACACTATTACTATTGGCGGTCTATACAACGGACATGATTACAAAGGTGCGGATATTGATCGTATTGTTGTCTATCCGCCTGAAGAGTAACGCGGTATTACATCATCCTCACATTGTAGCTGTAGATGAGTTTGTTCATGTCCCGATATGATTTAGATGGTATTACCCCAACCGTTCAACACAACAACTACATATCTCTGGTGAACTAAGAAGGTTGCAATACTGAAGACCGTATATCTCTTGTGCATCGTTATAGGTATATGGCAGAGATGTCAACAATCAAGCCAAGCCAAGCTCCAGCTTGGCTTGCCTCAGCTTGATAGGCAAAAGCAAAACTGTCAGCTTGGCTTGGCTTGACTCAGCTTGGCTTGGTGTATCAAGCCAGCTTGATTGATGAGCTTGATGAGCTTGA